GTTTTACGGCGCTGGCAACTGCATAGGGTCATATGAGCGCCAGAATATTAGAGGTGTTACAAGAGAGTAACAAACATAAAAAAGAGGAAGGGGAGATAAGGACGTTAGATGTTTGATAGGAAAGAAGAAGCAAACCACACCAGAGCAGCCGCCAACAACCCACTTTTTTGTTTTTATAAGATTTTACGGCACTGCATTTACAACACAAATAGTAATAGTAAATAGGTCATATAATTACCGAAGATTAAAAGTGTTACCAGACAGTAACGTGCAAATGTAACAATTAAGGAGGAGATAAAAGACAACAATGAAGGAAACTATCAGAGGACACAGAAATCATATTATTATACAGTGGACCCCATGGATACTGTTGGACGATCCGGATTTTGCAGACGACTTGGCGCTTCTGTCGTACACCCAGGAACAAATTTTAATGCAAGCAAAGACTTCAGTATGTATTAAAGGACCTATTGGAATCTGTTGGATTGAGGATCCACCCCGGAAAATTAAAGGTCCTAAGGACAGATGCACAACTTAACGAGAAGGTCACAAAATAGAAGGAAATGCACTAGAAGACATTGAATCCTTCTGCTATCTTGGGAGTATAATTGACAGAGAGGGAGAAACAGGTGCTGAAATTAAGTCCCGCATTGGAAAAGAGTAGTCTGCTTCCATATCTTTGGATAGGATTTGGAAGACCAGAGATATCTCACTTCGAACAAAGCTGAGGATGTTCAATTCAAATGTGGAGTCAGTCCTGTTGTAAGGATGTGAAAAGACATGGAACGCATCACAGACTTGCATACAGAGGATTCGGGTTTTCTTGAGCTGATGTCTAAGAAGGTTACTGAGGATCAGATGGACAGACAGGGTCACAAACGAGGCAGTGTTAAGGACAACAAGACAGATCCCAGCCAAAGATGAGGTAGGAAGAAGGCGGTGGCGATGGGTTAGACATACTCTCAGGAAGTCAGGCAGCTGCATTTCAAAGAAAAATAATTTTGGATTGGAATCCACAGGGTAAGAGATCAAGGGGAAGACCGCATGGAACCTGGAGAAGAATCACAGAAATTGATGTACAGAAATGTGGGAAGACATGGAATATCACCAAAAGACAAGCCCAGGATAGAGAAAGGTGGAAAGTGTTTGTCCGTGGCCTATACCCTGCTGCAGGGTGAGAAAGGCAATGATGATGATGATAAAGACGACTGATGTAGGTGAGAAAAGAGGAGCAAATTGCACCAGAGCATCGGCTAACATCCACTCGTGTCATCTCGAAAAACAAAAGCTTGAAAGACCATGTACTTTTTAGTTTTAGTAGAGGTTTTGCGGCGCTCGAAACTACATTCGGTCATATGAGCGCCAGAAGATTAGAGGTGTTACAAGAGAGTAACAAACAAAAAAGAAGAAGGGGAGAAAAGGACAATAGATGTTTGATAGGAAAGAAGGAGCAATCCACACCAAAGCACCCGCCAACCACCCACAGACCATGTACAAGACAAAAGAAATGTATACAGTGATGTGAATGTACAAGACAAAATGAAAGTATGAAGTGATGAGAATATACAAGATAAAAATAAAAGTTCTAAGTGATGTGAATATGTTGTGCACGCCATTGATATTATGGACAGCCTTAGAATCCGTCATCACGACGTCATGGTTGCCCCTCTGCTGGTCTTTCACTACCTTAGAATTACAAAGTTCTATCTTCTCAATACCTACAGTAGTTTTGAGAAATTTGACGTTAAAAAAATTGGGAAGCCACATTCTGATTTCGGAGGCACTCTGTTTGTATACTGGCAAGAGTATTTTCAGTTGTTGGTAGGAATTAATATATAAATTTCGCCGAGTGGCGGCCGAAGTCTACTCTTATCGATTTTAAACCACAAAGGGATCTTGAGCGTGCTCAACCTGCACACAGGACCTCCGAGGTTTTTTGCGCCTTATCCGAGAAGGCTAGGTGTTAGATCTTACCTACCGTAAGATCAGTGGAGTGGCTGAAAGACAGCAGTAAGGAGTCATAAGATAGCTGGAGAAAGGCTGGAGAAAGAGTCAAGAGCCCAGAGGAGGGGTCAAAGGGGGGGGGGCAGAAAGTGGAGACGAAAAAAGACAACAGAACACAGTAACCTCTAGACCATGAGAACGGGAAACG